GCAGCCCGGGTGAGGGTTGGAGCCAGACACCGAGTTCGACGACAAGGCGTCGACTGCCAGGCAGGGTCCAAGATGTGCTGTCGACAAGAGTTCTTTGTGGACTTCCGTGAAATTGGCTGGCATGACTGGATCATCCAGCCCGAGGGCTACGCGATGAACTTCTGCACAGGGCAGTGCCCACTGCACGTGGCTGGCATGCCTGGCATTGCTGCCTCCTTTCACACCGCAGTGCTCAACCTGCTCAAGGCCAACACAGCCACAGGCACGGCCGGAGGGGGCTCGTGCTGTGTGCCCACTGTGCAGCGGCCTCTGTCTCTGCTCTACTATGACAGGGACAGCAACATCGTCAAGACAGACATACCTGACATGGTGGTAGAGGCCTGTGGGTGCAGCTAGTGTGTGTGTGGTGTGGGCAACCCAGGGGTGGGGTGGGGTGCCAAACACACCCTCAGAGCTGCTCTTCCCCTAAAAGAGGGCCTTCCCTGCCGCTGCCTCTGTCCAGATGCAGACCCCTTGAGCAACCCATGGAAAGGATCCCACCTTGGACTTCAGGAGAGCTACATCAAAGAAGAACCACAGGGCCATCTTCATGATCACAAGTCTCTCTCTCACGGCATGGTCCGTCCAGCAAGTCTCACATGCTCACCCCCATCCGGGAACTCTGATCCACCTACAGCCATGAGCAGTGCAGTCTGGTTCCTAGGCAAAGATACCTTTAACTCAGCTTTAACCACCCCATAGCCCACTCTGTCTCCCAGCCCTGCCCACTAGAAGGCCCCCACTCCAGGGTGAGTTGACCCAGCCCCTTCTCCTGATTTTTCTGGGTCTCCAGAGCCCCATCCCTTGGATTCACCAAAGATTAGGTCATTCTCCAAGGTGGGGTTCACCACCTCTGTGTCTTGAGCTTCTGTCCTGCTAACTTGCCTAGGTGGGCTGCCAATGTTCTCTCCGCATGCCCTCAACTATTCTTTGTCCTTCTCTGTCCTGTGCTGTGCACTTAGGGGCTGACTTACCTGGGCTGCCCTGCCCTAGGGCTTCTTGCTGGGTTTGACTAAGGGGAGACACAGGCAGGGGACCACAGGAGAGGCAGGACAGAGGTCAGGGTACTTCTTATTCCTGTTCCCTCTCTGGGTGCCCTGGTTCTATGTGACTATTGCTATGCGGTGACCTAGTGCCTCCTGCCTGGCTACGTCCTGCCACAGTTTTAGCTTTGCCTGCATTCTGCTGGCGTTGTTTCATCACCACTAGGGGATCCTAATGGCTTTCCACTTTTGCTGGTCCCTCAGTGCCTCCACGCCCCTTGTTGGTCCCCTTAACCCTGGCTCTACCTCTGTAACGAATTCCTGCACCAAGTCACCTCGATGAAGAAGAACTAGACAACTGAGGGGACCTTCAGTGTCCTGCCAGGACCTTGATGACACCCAGGATGACACAGAGCCTTCCTGTCCTGCCTGCTCAGCTCGATCTTCACCTGGGACTCCTCAGGCCTGGCTCGCATATCTTCAAGCCTCCCCAGGGCCATCACTGATGGTCTCACAGCTGATAAAGACCTAGGTTTCACCTGCCCCTCTCCTCCCTCTGCACTCATTCCAGGAGATGAGAGAGACGGACAGCCAGTCCCCGAGCAGGCAGGCAGCCTGACGGCACACACGTGCTGGGAGGCAGCACCGTGCTCAGGGCTGGCTGCCGGAAACCCCTTCACCTTCCTCTCACCCACCCCCAAGACTCCGTCCAGGAGTCCTGCTGGAAGCTCCAACTGGACAGGGCCGCTTGAGTGGGAAGAGGAAGGGCTGGGGTGAGGAGAGGGCGGCATTTGCTGGAGACTGAGTCCTCTTCAGACCTTTGTCTGCCTTCCCCAGCCATCTGCTCCCTGTGACTGGACAGTCCAGAACCATGCGGTCAATACCGTCTGCAGCCCAAGGCCGAGTTTGCGCAAACCCCCTGTGTCCTCTGGGGGACGTGATGTCTGTGTTTGCTCAGCTTATAACCCCTCCCACCCGTGTAAGAGGCCCCTGTGACAGATGTGCCTGAGGAGAGCATCAGAGAGGGACCTCCCGCGGGACTGCATATTGGAGCTGGGGGCTTCCAGAGGTATCCCACCTGGGACTTTAGGAGACCTTAATCTAAGGAGGGCTTCTGGTATCACCCCACCCCTACCCCGCCTGGCTCCTCCCCTCCTCCACATCCCCCCTCCTTCCCTCCAGTCCTCAGGGACTGGATTAAAGTGAAGTGAGACACAAACCTGGTGGGCAAAATTTTAAGGAGAGGGCCAGCACTGTGGCATGACAGGTTAAGCCACAGTCTGCAGTGCCAGCATCCCACATGGGTGCCAGTTCCAGTCCTGGCTGCTCCACTTCCAATCCAGCTCCCTGCTAATGCACCTGGGAAAGCATCGAGGGATGGCCCAAATGCTTGGGCCCCTGCACCAGCATGGGAGACCTGGAGGAAGCTCGTGGCTCCTGGCTTCAGCGTGGCCCAGCCCTGGCCATTGTGGACATTTGGGGAGTGAACCAGCTGATGTCTCTCTCTGTCTCTCCTTCTCTCTGTCTTTCAAGTTAATAAAATAAATAAACCTTTAAAAAAATTAAGGAGAGACCAAAAAAAATTCATCAATCAAAATAAGTAATATTTAATGCAATGTTTTAAAATCAAAATGCAAAAATCCATGATTAGAAAATAGCATATTTTAACATAGAAACAGGGTCTGTATGATTTCTCCCCCTTTTTTGTAAAAAGGGGAGAGAATGGGGGATGGGCTGTGCCTTCCAGGGGCTGCACCAGACCATTTTCCCCCAGATGCTCCTAAGCCCCACTTCCGGCTTTTTGCATCTGGGCCAGGTAAGCTCTGGCATGCCTGCACTTCCTTACCCACCCCCAAGCTTGTTGCCACCCCCAGCCCCCAGCCAGGTTGGTGGTGGGGCGAGCAGTGAGGCAGATGGCTGGGGTATTTATAACCTGGGAGCACTTCTTGGGAAAAGTGACTAAGATGCTAAGAGCGTATTTATAGCTGAGTTCTGACGTAAGTGTCAGTGGGGAGGTAGGGCCAGGCCAGGCGCAGCAGCCAGGGGGGTGGGAAGAGCTGGAAATTGGGGGCACCTGACAGAGAGGGTGGCGGAGAGGTGGGGTCGGAAGCCACTTCTTGCTGCTCCTGCCTCCAGCTGCTGGCATCTCCAGGGAAGCCCTCTGATGCACCTTCATGGGCAGACTCACCCACCTTGCAGTCGATGTTCCAGACCCAGGGGCTACAGGACTGTCACCCACCAATCCTGACCCACAGAGAGGGAGCTGGGGAAAGCACCGCACAGAGGCCTCGAATATGTTTCAGGGCCTGTGGACAAAGGCAGGGTAGGCAGAAGGGTCCGAGAGCTTCAATGTCTCTTCTCCCCAACCCCAACCCCGCCACACGGTGCCCTGAGTTTCTAGGACGAGCCTGACACGCCTCACCGAGGGCCACTGCCACGTTGTCAGCATGATGAGGTCCAAAACCAAAGGTAGCCGTGAGGCGGGTCCTGAGGACAGCCTCCGTTCTCTGGCTGGGGGAGGGGGCAGCCAGTGTCTCCCTGTCTCTTGTAGGGGAGGCAGAGTCCCCAGAGTGCAAGTTTGAGTAGCACAGTCCTCCGCTCCCTCCGCTCCCTACGGCACTTCCCTCTCCCTAGGACGCTCCGGTCAGCGCAAGCCCGCTACCGTCCGGAGGCACGGCACTGCCACATGGTGGACACTAGTGGTACTGAGGCCCGGCCCTCAAAGTGTCAGCCACCTCCTTGGTGCCAAATCTCCTGATCTCTGGAGGCGGGCATTTGGTACAGCAGTTCCGATGCTGCTTAGGGCACCTGCATCCCATATTGGAGTGCCTGGGTTTGAGTTCCATGTCTGCTCCGGATTCCAGCTTCCTGCTATATACACACCCTGGGATGCAGTAAGGGATGGTTCAAGTCCTTGGGTCTCTGCCGCCCCCATGGGGGACCTGGCTTGGGTCTGACCAGGCCCCATCAGCTGCATGCATTTGAGAAGCAAACCAATGGAGTCGGTGTTCCAGACCCAGGGGCTACAGGACTGCGACCCACCAGAAAGATCTGTCTGAGACTCTGTCTCTCCCTCTGCTCTATATTTCCCAAATAAAAAAATAAAAATAAATTAAAATAGCCACTAATTGAAAAAGAAAACAAAAACTCTCTAATGGCCTTTCTTGACAGCCCCGACCAACTAATGGAGGGGGGAGGATGAACAAAGCGGGTAGGGGCAGTTCCCTTTACCCACACATTCTCCCTCCACCCCAGCTTCCTGAAGAAACTGGGGCGTAAGGAGGAGAGCTAGCCTCCCCTCCCCAGTTCATTCAAAGTCACTGAGCAAGTGTGGTAGGGAGGGCTGGGTTCTGTGTACTCTCCTTGGTTCGTTCTCCAAAGCAAGCCCTTAAACCTCCCATTTCCGGCCCCTATGAACAGAGTCCTGACACCACTTCTAGGATGTCCCAAATTCAGGCAACTCTCAGAGTCCTTGAAAGAGAAGCTGGCAGCTGGGTGCAGGCCCTCCCAAGTCTCATGCCCTCCTGCCAGCCTGGGTGGACTCTGCCCTGCTACAAGATTGCATCACTCCCACCTCGCTGGGTTTCCCCAGACATCACAGTAACATGCCCCCACCCCCACGCTGGCCCCCCTCCATGCTTGCTCCAGTCCAACTGGACTCTGGGCAGCCAGCACAGGCAGGGTCAGGGTGTGACTTCCGTGCCCCGTGGCACTGCCACCTAGGCCAAAGCAAGAGAACTCCGTTCTCTTAACCTCCACAAACCCCTCACCTCTGCCCCAGTTCCAGGGCTAGAAACAGAGACCAGAATTCTCCTGTTCCAGGGACCCCAGAGAGATAAGCACCGGGACCCACTGCCACCTCCTGGCACCTGCTGCAGTGGTGGCGGCTGGGCACGCTGGAGACCATGGAGATCCGAGCGGTACTGCCCTTCCCTGCCTGGCGCATGAGCTTCCCTCCTCTGTGTCCCAGACCTTGGGAACTGAGCATGTGAAATCATCCTCTTTCTTGCATCATGCATGTCCACACTGCCCCCCACCCCCATACCCCTACTCAAGCTCAGTCACCAGGCGGGATGGTGAAACCCGAGCTCTGGGGAGGGGAGACCTCCACCCCTGCAGGGGCCTGATGGGCAGCCCAGCTGGCCAATCCCCGGGCTCAGAGGCCAGATCTGCAGGCTGACCACTAGGTAAGGGAGCCCCAGGCAGCTGGTCTAAAGAGGCCCTGGCTCAGTTGCCAGACACAAACTGTGAGGGTTGACCATAGCTCCCCATCAGGCCGCCCACTTCCAGCTTTTCTCAGTCCCAGGCAATAGAAGACAGGTGGCCCTGCCCTTGGCCAAGGATAGGTGTGGCCCTTGTGCCTGCTGCCACACGACATCAGACTCAACAGACAGAACAACATCCACCCAAGGCTCCTGACCTGGGGCCACCCACCAGGAGCATGGGGCTCCCGGATGTCCAGCTCTGCCTGGTTCTGCTGTGGACACTGGGGTGGGCACGAAGGGCAGGATCGGAGTGCCCCGCCTGTGGGGGCCCAACCCTGGCACCCCAGGCAGAACGAGCTGTGGTCCTGGAGCTGGCCAAGCAGCAAATTCTGGAGGGGCTGCACCTGACCAGCCGGCCAAGAATAACACATCCTCCACCCCCGGCAGCGCTGACCACAGCCCTCCGAAGGCTCCAGCCTGGGAGCGTGGCTCCAGGGAACGGGGAAGAAATTGTCAGCTTTGCTACTGTCACAGGTAGGTGAGGGAGCCCAAGACAGGCAAAAGAAGAGAGAAGGGGAGTGGGGTGTGGCAGGAGAAGGAGGACTTGGGACGGGGATTGGTTGCCGAGGACGCAAGGCAGTCCCGGCTTTTTCTAAAGGTGGGTGGGAGGGAGGGAGGGCAGCACGCAGGGCCTGGAGAGCCTCCGGCTTAGAGCTTATCTCTGCTCACATTTCTTTTCCTTCTCTGCCTTTCGGACAGACTCCTCCCCTGCAGCATGCAGCTCCATGCTCACCTTCCACCTGCCCACGCCTCGGTCCCACCACCTGTACCGTGCCCGCCTCTGGCTGCACGTGTTCCCCACCTCTCCTGGCACTCTTAACTTGAAGATTTTCCGATGGAGCCCAAGGAGGAGGCACCGAGGATCCCGCACCCTCCTGGGTGAGCACCAATTGAGTCTCCCGGGCTGGCAAGCCCTGACTCTGCCCCCTAGTGGCTTGAGGGGTGAAAGATCTGGCGTCCTGAAACTCCAGCTGGACTGCAGACCCTTGAAAGGCAACAGAACAGCCGCTGGACCACCGAGGCAGCGGCTCCTGGACATGGCGGGACACCAGCGGCCCTTCCTGGAGCTTAAGATGCGGGCCAATGAGCCTGGAGCAGGCCGAGCCAGGAGGAGGACTCCCACCTGTGAGCCTGAGACTCCCTTATGTTGTAGACGAGACCACTATGTGGACTTCCAGGAACTGGGATGGCGGGACTGGATCCTGCAGCCTGAGGGGTACCACCTGAATTACTGCAGTGGGCAGTGCCCACTCCACCTGGCTGGCAGCCCGGGCATTGCTGCTTCCTTCCATTCGGCCGTCTTCAGTCTTCTCAAGGCCAATAATCCTTGGCCTGCAGGTACTTCCTGCTGTGTCCCCACTGCCCGAAGGTCCCTTTCTCTGCTCTACCTCGACCATAAGAGCAATGTGGTCAAGACAGATGTGCCAGATATGGTGGTGGAGGCTTGTGGCTGCAGCTAGCGAGAAGACCTGGGCAATGGCAGGAAGACATCAAGTCGGGGGCTCCCAGGCGAAGCCACCTGCGGTCCATCAGTGAAGTCATAAGATTCCTGATCCTCTCCGCCTCCCAACAGGCCGCCTGTGTCGCCCCAAGGAACCCAGATGGGCACTTTCTCGTTCCAGCCTCAGGCCAGGCTGGTGGGTGTGTGGGGAGAAGGGGAAAGGGTCGTGCAGCAGGATTTCCTATCCTAAGCCCTGGGAGGAGGGGGCAGGGGCTAGGAAGGGGTGGGGTGGGGGGAAGGAGAAGGCAGAGAAAAACTGCTTGACTCTGCCCAAAAGGGTTAGTCCTCTGATGGGAGAGGGCGGAAGCAGAGGGCGCAGGGGACGAGGGGCAGGGCAGACAGGCTGGCCAAGGGAAGGGACGCAGAAATGCTCCGGGCAGGGGGTGCAGGAGCCGCCCTGAAATGGGCGAAGTCTGAGAAGCTATCTGGTTTTGCCCTGGAGCACAGGTCTCTCCCCAGAGACAGACATTTCTACTTTCTTAATAAAAATGAGAAAGCAACGCAACAAGTATGAGCTGTGATGAAGGGTGGGGTGGCCCTTCCGGGGGTGACCCACTTCAGGGTGTCCACCAGGTCAACTTATCTTCCTAAGAACACGTCAGCCGCCGTTTCTATTTTCATTACCTCGCAATTGTACAGTGGAGTTGTGCGGAGCCTGTGCGATGTGTGGTTACATCATCTTTCTGACACTGTACTTTTGTTGTTGTTTCAAAGATTTATTTATTTATTTGAAAGGCATAGTTACAGAGAGAGAGAGAGAGAGAGAGATCTTCTATCTGTTGGTTCACTCCCCAAAATGGCTGCAACAGCCAGGGCTGGGCCAGGTAAAAGCCAGGAGCCAGGAGCCTCATCCAGGTCTCTGACGTGGGTGCAGGGGCCCAAGCACTTGAGCCATCTTCTACTGCCTTCCCAGGCTCATTAGCAGGGAGCTGGATTGGAAGAGAAGCAGCCAGGACTCAAACAGGTGCCCGTATGGGATGCTGGTGTCACAGGCAGAGGGTTAAACTACTGTGCCACAACACAGGCTGCTCTGACATCATTGTTAACGGAATGTGTGCTTGTGCATTCTTATGTCACAGGTTTTTTACATTTTAATGTCTAATATGGTGAATTGATAGATATAAATCACAAACCAAAGCTCAATACTTTCTAAGGGCATGTAGAGATCTTGAAAACAAAATTGCTGACCTACAGAACTGGGTGGAGAGAAGAAAATGGGGTGCTCTAAGACAGCCTCTTGGGGTGTCAGCATCATGGCATAGTGGATTATGCTACTGCTTCCCATCCAGCTCCCCACTAACGTGCTTGGGAAAGCAGCAGAAGATGGTCCACCTGCTTGGGCCCCTGCCACCCACATGGGAGACCCGAATGGAGTTCCAGGCTCCTGGCTTCCGCTTGATCCAGCCCTGGTTGTTGTAGCCATTTGGTGAGTGAACCAGTGGATGGAAGATCTCTCTCTCTCTCTCTCTCTGTAACTGTCTTTCAAATAAATAAATACATAAATCTTTAAAAATGAATAAATAAATCAGCTCCTCTGGACCCGTGGATGTTCATCTCTGCAGTTAAGATAACCACAACCCTCGCAGCGGGCGCTGTGGAGTAGCTGGTTAAGTCATTACCCATGAGTCCTGATTGAGTCCTGGCTGCTCTGCTTCCAATCCAGATCCCTGCTAATGTGACTGGGAAAGCAGTGGAAGATGGCCCAAGTGCTTGGGTCTCTGTTACCCACGATGGAGTTTCAACTCCTGTCTTTGACCTGGCCCAGACCCCACTGTTTCAGTCATTTTGGGAGTAAACCAATGGATGGAAGAACTCTCTCTCTCTCTCTCTCTCTCTCTCTCTCTCTCTCTCTTTCTCTCTCTCTCTCTCTCCCTCTTTCTCCCCCACCCCGTACCTCTGTCTTTCAAATAAATAAATCTTGAAAAAAAATATTGGGGCCAGTGCCATGGCATGGCAGGTCAAAGCTGCCTCCTGCAATGCCAACATCTGATATGGGCACTGGTTTGTGTCTTGGCTACTCCTCTTCTGATTCAGTTCTCTGCTAATGGTCCGGGAAAGCAGTGGAAGATGACCCGAGTGCTTGGGCCCTTGTACCCGGGTGGGAGACCGGGAAGAAGCTCTTAGCTCCTGGCTTCGGATCAGTCCAGCTCTGGCCATTGCAGCCATTTGGGGATTGAACCAGAGGATGGAAGATCTCGCTCTCTTCCTCTCCCTCTCCCTCTCCCTCTCTCTCTCTCTGTAACTCTGCCTTTCAAATAAATAAAGCAATGAAAAGCAAAGAAGAAAAAAAAAGTTCACATCCTATATCTAAGTCCCTGGGTTCAAGTCCCCAGTGAGAGACTTGGATTGCGTTCCCAGCTTGCATTTTGGGAATGAATCAACAACAAAGGTTAGGAGCTCTGGGTCTCTGTCTCTGCCCCTGAAACAAGCTGATAAATGAGTCCTAGGAGAAAGGACACCCGGCTGGGACAGGAGCAAGACTGGAGTCTCTTCCCGGTGACCATTGGTGCGGCCTGAGCGAGCTGGGCAGGCCCTCGACCCTCTGGGTGACACTGTGCGGGAGGCAGGCTGCACGGGACCTCCCCCACCCCCAGTGACTCCTGTGGGGCCCAGACCTCCCCTTGCTTCGCCTGGTCTTCCCCTCCCTGGACCCCCCAACCCGACTGTTAACAGGCCCTCACTCTCAGTCCAAGTAGATGGCTCCTGGACGCAGAGCTAAGGTGTGCCAGGTCTGCCAGGGAGGTCACAGAACCGGGAAGGGAGTCTTCCTCTTCCCCAGGACGAAATAGCTGCCCCCTCCCCGCCATCCGGTCACCACGGCAACACAAACCCAGAGGGACAGGGCACTCCTCCGTCAGGGGGGCACTCCCGCAGGGCGCCAGCAGCCTCTGCCGCTGGGCCCCGCCGCTTCTCTGGGCTCCTAACTGGGCTTTGGGGGAGGCAGCTGTCTGGGCGCGAGCTCCGTGGGTCCTCCCGGTCTCCTCCGCCTCCAAACGCAGAGAGGGTGTCATGTGCAAGCAGGGCCAGCAGAGGGAGCAGGAAGCCTTGGAGAGCGTAAAGAGCGCGGGCGGCAGAGAGGTGCGGAGGTGGCCGCAGCCTGCAGAGGTTCGAGGTGGAGAGGGCGTTTCCTGGGAAAGGTGCTGCAGACCCACGGCTCCTTAGCGACACTGTGGAGGCGCACCTCGCACGCAGAGCCTCGGCCGCTTCTCCTCTCCTTTCTACTCCGTAGACCCCGAAACTTTCTCCAGAGCCCCCCACCAAGCTCCTCAGCTCGGTTTGCCCCAACCCCAACTCTCCCAGAGGATTAGACCTGCAGATAAACCACAGGGTGGCGGGATACTCAGTTCGCATCCGTCAGTGTGGACGACCCTGCCTCGAACATGATCTTTGCCAGATGAACTTCTCTCTTTTGCCCCCGCCTCGCAATATTTCCCTCGGTCTTTCTGGCTCTGGCTCAGGACCTCTTCGTGGACAGCCGATCCGCAGATCCAGACCGGGATTTTCCGCCCACCACCAGCAGCGTGTTCGGGGGGGGGGGAGGCAGTATAGGGTCCCTCAAGGGAGGGGGAGGATCCTGGGGGTCCTGGGGGTGCAATAAGCCCGGCACCCCCTCTCTCGCTCCTAGCCACCCCGCCTCACCCTCCAGAACGGCAGGAGGGAGGGAGATAGGAGGGAGGCGAGGGGCGAGCGGGAAGAGAGGCGGCGCGCCAGCGGCTAGAGCGAGGAAAAGTTTTTGCAAAAGGGAAAAAAAAAAGTTTGCGCTTCTCGCGGGTGGTCCCGGCTCGCGGCCCGGCTGGCTGGGCCGGCGGGAGGGCTGGGGGGGCCAGGTTGGGGGGTGGGGGTGGCACCGAGGCTGCGCTGCCGTGGCCCTGTCCGCCCCCCCTCCCCACCGCACACCCCCCAGCCCAGACTCCTGCCCTGGACCGCGCATCCCGAGTCCAGCGCCCAGACGGAGGTGAGAAGGGGGGCGGGCGGGGGACCACCTGGGAGCGGTGGGGGAGGGGGATGCTCTGCTTCCGAGGGGTTCACCCCGGCCTGGAGGGAGACCTGGGGTGCAGGGGCAGAATGGGGGTGGGCGAGCCCGGGGTGAGTTGTTAGGAAGTCTGAGGGAATTTTTTTTTCCCGTTTGTATCTCTTCATTCCCTTCTTTTTTTCTTCTGACAGTCTGCGTGTCTCTGTCTCGGGCAACCGTGGGTCTCTTTGTCTCCGCCACTCCCCTGTGTTAGAAACATCTCACTTTCTTGAGGCTGGAGGGGTGGCTGTCCTGGGGTCTGCGGGGTGGAGCGGGAACTCCAGGTAGCATCTTGAGTGCCAGGCATGAGGACGTCGGGGCACCCCAAAGGAGGGCGCTCCAGGTGGGGTGGGCTTAGGTGTGTGTGAGGCAGCAGAACCACGGGGAGCCTGCTGGGCCTGAGCCCCCGACCTGCTGTGACCGATGTGCCTGCAGATGCGGGACGCGAGTGTCTTCCGGACTAGGCCGGGAGCTGGCGGGGCTGCCCAAGGTCTAACTAGGCCTTAGAAAGACCCCAAAGAATTTTGGGCTCCCGAGCCTCTAGGGCTATGGGGCAGGCCGCTTAAGAGGAGCTGGGGAGACCTTTTCTTGACCCTCTGACCTCTGGACCACCGGGGCAGCTGAAGCCAGCCGCCGGGAGACCCCTACTGGGGCTGGGCGGGACCACCGGCCACTGCCAGCCTATATATCCCGCTTGGCCCCCCGCCCAAACGGGAGCTGCGAACCCAAGCCCCTCCTCTGGCTCAGACCACCCTGCCTGCCCTGGCTCCCCGCTCTGAAGCCTCTTTCAGGCCCCTTGACCCCGAAACAATCAACCCTGGGTAGCCAGCTTTGGGGGCAGGATTAGAGAAAGGGGACCCCGTAGTGGCGGAGGACTGAGGGTTTTAGGGGGCTGGCGAGCTAGGGTCTTCCTAGCATAGGCCCGAAAGTTCCAGTGGAGGGCGAAGACCTGGCCGTTTCCCGGGGAGACGCGAAGGCCGGCGTCAGGGTGGTTTTCCCTAGGGGGGCGGGGTCCCGAGACCCCCCCTCATTATCTCCCCGGCATCCCCGCCCGACGCGCAGACCCCGCCCTTGACGTCACTAGGGGGTTCCCGGGGGTCCGAAAGGGTTAACCCTTGGGCTGCCGGGAACCCGAGGTGTTCACACACACACACACACACACACACACACACCTTGTTTTATTTACTCCCACTCTTTCCCCTCCCTATACTCTAAGGATTCTCTTGCTTTGCCACCCCACCACGGGGATCCCCACTCTCCAAAAGTGCTCCCCAGGGCGCCGCTGCCTGCTTTCGGGATGCACGGAGAGGAGGAGGAGGGAAGAATGTGTCCCGCCCCTCATCCCCCCCCCCCCACACACACACACTGTACGGCTCGCTCGACTGGGCTCCCGGGGCGGGCGGGGGAAGCGGAGCCGTCTGCAGCCAGAGCCTGCGGCGGCGACTTGGGTGGGCCGAGGAGGCACGGGGGCGGGGAAGGCGGGACCGG